GATAACTGTGCTTATTTTTCACTGCAGCTGGATGAATCCACAGATGTCGTTGACAACTCTCAAATGGCCGTGATTTTATGATTAAAGAAGGTCTTTCGAAGTTTATTCCACTAAAAGAACAGACTACTGGCAGGACTCGTTTTCTTCTTTCAAAAATATTATTTCTTCTGAGAAAATTCCAATATCGAAAATGGCAGGCTTGACAACCGATGGCGCTCAAGTTATGGTGGATCATGATAAGGGGTCTCGTGGGGTTATGTCGTAAAGATGAAAGTTTTCCGCAATTTCTCTCTTACCCCTACATTAGCCATCCGCAGTCATTATTTAGACATTTTCTAAAACTAAACAATGGAGGAAATTGGTTGTAAAATTGTGAACAAGATTAGAGCTCAAACGTTACAAAGAAGGTTATTCAAAACCTTGGCCGATGAAAATCACTGCCAATACGGAAAAATACTTCTTCACTCTGAAGTCCGATGGTTAAGTAGGGGACGACTGCTTGAACGTTTTAATGATATCATATCTGCTATAGTTCAATTTTTCAAACAACGTGATTAACCGATTCCGGAACTGGAAAACTCAATCTGTCTTAGAGATTTTGGTTTTCTTGGGGATATTACAGAAAAGTTAATGAACTAAATTTGCAGCTTCAGCGAGAGACAGAGAACTAGCAGAAATGATTTCTGATATAAAAGCGTTTATAAAAAAGCTCGACCTTTGGGACAAATCTTAATCGAAGGCGTTGCGCAAGCATTTTCCTGTTCTTTCAGAAAAAAAAATGTTAAAGTCTGTTAGAACCATATGCCAGTAAATATCATGTACAAATAGTATTTAATTGTCAGTGAGTGTGACTGTCAGGCTTCTCATTGAACACGCTTTTTTTATCTGAATATGTTTTTGTTTAAAATAGTGCGTTGTTTTTTTTATTTTTAGTTACCTTTATTAAATCGTATGTGACATGCCATTTGACGAAAAATTTAGTTTATTAACACCTACGGCTGATAGGAGTGGATGTACGAGTAGTTATATAACATTAGTTATTAGTTTATTCAACCTTATTAGTATCTATGAGTATTAGTAAAATGAATACATGTATGTCGCATAGAACTGTGTATAATTTGATTTAAGTTGGCTTACATCGTTCACGACTAGGCAGCTCACTGTTTGTTCCAAAATTATCAAAGTAGCTCAACACACTAAAAAGGTTGGCGACCACTCGTTTAAGGCAATTACAAATTAATTTTATCCATTATAAAAACAGAAAATCGTTTAAATTCATAAAAAACACAATGCATACACATATAAATGAGAATTACATCAAGCATGACTATATACATTGTAACGCAGACATCATATCAAAATTATAACACATAGTACATTAAACACGAATATATATTAATGTAAACTGAAAAGCTCCAGTAGTGCTGTTTCATCAAAATTCGTCGAAAATTACTTAGAGTGATCTGGAATCTAGGTAACAGAAACGTTTCCATAGTAGATTTTAAAATCATCAAAATTATCTATTCATATTGAGTTCACCTTGCTTTCAGGAAGCTCCAACGCGTACCGCAAACAGTCGCAGGAAGTTTGTTATAATATCCATCTCCAAGGCTTTTGGCTACATTAATTCTATTTCTTGGAAGTACCATTTTGCTTTTCCCTCATGCATTGTAGCCGTAAATATTGAATAAAGTGCAGTAATAATCACACAAGTTTTTCCCCGCATTTGCATATTTGCAAATACTGTCATTATTTTACGATTTCGGAAAATTTCCCGGCAGTGTTCATCATGCTTAGTTCTAATAATACTACGAACCGCTAAATTTTGTATCAAAAAAATTTCTGTAAGTGAGAATATGAGGCATTCCCCCAACTAAGCGCTCCATAGTTCAATAGAGAATTAAACATACCATTGTATGATGTTAGGACAGAGTCCGTATCGCTAAATAATATATGCAATTCTGCGTATTGCATTAATATGTATAATTACTACCCTAGCCAGCATAGTACGAATGTGGTTAATAGGGAGTGTCCCAGTAATATGTGTGTCAAACTGTAAGCTGAATGTACCTACCTACTATAGTTTTTTGATTATTTAAATATAACATTTGATGAAAGCAAATTTTAAATGACCGAACATTTCCAACAATATTTTTTTTATTCATTTTATTTTTACTTGTCTACACGAATCGTGTGATTTTCTCCGGAAAATTATGTCCCCATTTCACCTGCATAGAGTTCCGGACTGAGTTGTACTACGTTGGTTGGTTGTGAGGCCCAAATATTTATATTAATTGACTTACAAGAAGGTATGACTTCCCTTGACAGTTGCTACTCTCTTTATCGAGCATGCCTCTATGTATTTCAGTTAACCAACATCGGTATAATGCTAAGAAGAGATGGCTTCAGTAACACATCAGAGGTAATGCAAATGGAGTAACATTTGATAAAAACTTTGAGCATTATGCGTTTCAAAAAATGAAAATACTATTAAGTGCAAAATTGTCAATTATAACATTAAGTGTTGATTTTTACCTCTCTGTACTTTGGGGATTCTTACAAATGGTTCTAATAACAAGTGAACACCAAAAATTAAACGATTCTTGGTAAATGTTTCCTGCTCAATCTTACCACTCTTGCGTTGGAGCTTACAAGTCCCTCGGTACAGACTAGGAGCGAAAGTTTGTCTGTATTCTGTCCCAGCTTTGAGTTCTGGTGCTATTTACTCATGGGCTTCTGGTGCTATAAAAACTGAGGAGATACTACCCAATCTATTCTATATTCCATCTTCCACAAGGCTCAATAATTTCTCCGAAAGTATTTACAAATATGTATTATGATTTCAGTACATTTTGAATATTTTCAATAAATACTGTATACCTTCTCGGATGAAAAATTGTATGTCAGTTAGGACATTCATGCAGTTTTTAAGGATAAGTTTGGTAGAGTGAAATAAGCTATATTAGAGAAAATATTTATTCATGAAATTTAATCATGAAACAATACATTCATTTTTCCGAATGCTATGAAGACGATATGCCACCTGAACACTCAAGTCACCCCATTCTCCGCTTGAAATATGCCCTCGAAGTATTTACTTTAAAGATTACTGTCGGTAGCATGAATAATGCAGGAGTGAACAATAAGATTTTTATCGGATACCATGAGATTCACCTTTAGGCTGAAGCCTACAGCTATTGATACAGTATTGGCATAAAGGGGAAGAGTATGTTGTGTGTTTGCTAGCAAGTTTGGAAAAAGGTTTTTCTGGCAGATGTAGGTTGTACGGTTTCAACGAGGTTGACCTCATTTTATACAACGTCTGAAGAGTGCTATAGTCTGTCAAAGATCTGTTATGTAGAGTGATGGTTTTCACACATTAGAATAGATGCAGCGCACAAGAGTACCGAAAAAAAAACCATATCAACTAGTACAGAACTCCAGACTGGGTACAGTAAACTTCGAGGAGCAAGATACAATAAGGCTGCAGTGCCCGTGGGACTTTGGTCGGAAGGCTACTGTAAAGAAAAAAGAAACATCGATCAATTTGCTATCTAAGACTTCTGTACATACCACATCTGTTGAGTAAATGAGTCGATACTCTTTGATTTTCACGATTTCATGCTACCTACCCATTTTTCGTAGAACTTTTCAATTATGGTGAATGTGCGCCTTTCTACGATATATAGGGTGGCGCATCGAAAACGAAACAGACGCATTTACTGGCAGCTCAGTTTTTTTTTAAAAACGCTCAGACCCGTCGATTTTGTTTTCGAGGGGGACACAAGTTTGGAAAAAAATCACGTTAGCACGTGCAGTCCCCTAAGCGGGGGTGACACCACCTCTAAAATCTTAAATGGAAAGGGGGGGGGGTCGAGTGATACCTTATTTTAAAGGTCTTTCAATACCCTTTATAATGATATAAAATTAATGTACTTCCGCCATAGACGCCATAGATCCTGCATTAACAGCCATAATTGAAAATCAGAATGATCGGCGGTACATTGCGAATAGGTTGATGTTCCAACAGGATGGTGCCCCACCACATTACGCATTACGTGTTCGACAATATTTAGATCAGACGTTTCCACATCGATGGATTGGTAAAAGAGGTGCCATTGAATCTTTATGTGGGGTCATTTAAAAAGCAAAATCTATGCTACTCAGCCAACATCATTAGAAGACCTGCGACAAAGAATTGTGAATAAGTGCCTGCAAATTACTCCTCAAATATTGCAAAATGTGCGGCAACGTTTTGACCAAAATCTTTATTATTGGATGGAGAGTCATGATGGCCATTTTCAACATTTACTTGCCTAACGGGTCAGTTCATTCTTCATTTTTAAATTATTTTGCTGCCAAATGTATTGATCTCCACTAATGATGATGTATTTGTTTTATTTAAGCTTTAAATCAATAAATCTTCAAAACTACTGAACTGAAGCTCATGTATTTTACATCATTATAAAGGAAATTGAAAGACCTTTAAAATAAGGTATCACTCGACCCCCTTTCCACTTAAGATTTTATGGTTGGTGTCACCCCCGCCCAGGGAGCTGTACGTGTTAACGTGATTTTTTGCCAAACTTGTGTCCTCCTCGAAAACAAAATCGACAGGTCTGAGCGTTTTTCAAAAAAAAAACTGAGCTGCCAGTAAATACGTCTGTTTCGTTTTCGATGCGCCACCCTGTATATAGTATATAACGGGATGTAGATAATGACTTGATAGTTAATGTAACAGTATATTGTACAAGTCTAAGCGTATTTACTAAGTGATTTTCTCCCGGTCTTTATTGTATTAAAATGTAATTATAACTTATATTCTTATGCTTAAAAATGTCTGAAGTACCTCAGCGAAAAATATCTTCCCTGTAGCAAAACATTAAAATGAATTTAAAAATGTACTTTTGAAAGAGTGTTTCTGGTACTAGTCTTGTTTGCCAACTCATGACAGGACTCTGAAATCATCATCCGCTTGGGGCGAATGGCCACTGTCCCTATCATCGATTTTCATCTGACTCTTTCACCAAATCTGTTAAAGTAAACAAAGCTACAAAAAAGTGACACAGCACAATAAGCAGCAGGCAAACTCGTTGTGCAGGGTGATTTATTTTTTTGATTATGAGCTCGGTGTGAATAAAAGCATAATGTTTCTGTAATACGCTTCACGTAATATCCTCTCCCTATAGGTTCGATGATTTATGGATGTTGCAGATTTTGTAGACAAAACAGGCGTATGTGTTTTCGCTGGCAGCTCATCACGAATACCCGTATGAAAATACACGTATCGGAGTTTATGATTTTCTTCAATACAATATCGTTATAGGAAGTGTATTTGAAGCTAAATTCATCAATATATCCAATAACAAAAATAGAACACCTAGTAAAGAAATGATATCAAGTAGATTTACTCTATACTTCCCACGAAACAGTTTCTAATACAATTTTCCATGTAGCCAATAGTTCTGAATATGAACTTATACACTATACATACTGCGCTATAGTTGTAGTCACCGTTCTTGGCGGTTACGTCATTAACGCCATATGAAATAGGTAAACAGATCGAGTCTCCGTACCATGGGCGGATCTTTATCTCAGCGTCAGTGCTACTCTCTCCAGTACGCATAAAGTGGATCACAGGGGACCGCTGTTTCCATTCTCTTCCTGGAAATACTCTAATAAATTTAGCACGAGCTGTTTGCCTTCTCCACTGATCGTATTTCCGGGCATTGTACAATTTTATACTGAAGATTGATAGCAAATTCCACGCCAATGTCAAGTAAGTATGATTGAAGGGCACTCATACGTGACGACAAACTTTTTGAGACGGAGACACACAACTAAAAAAAGTATGTCTTTGAGCTTGCATGTATACGTATGAGGGAGATGGAGATATATAAAGGGATACTGGTCGACTTACTTTGACCCACCAAGAACGGTGACTACAACTATACATAATATTATCCCAAGTAACCTCATGAAATTACACTCCAAGGACAATGCTCGTAAATATATAGATATTGCGCCTACCTTCCAAAGATGCAATATTCACCTGGGCGCAGGATAAGTGTGACCGATACGTACGCTATCTGTAGGCTGACAATACTAACATAAAAATTGCGACGCAACCTCCCCTACCAACTACAACGCCCCACTCACTAAGTTGTTACCCTTAAAATGTGGTCCAAAAATGATCAGTATGATCCGAAATCCCAAAAACGAGGTTTGAGTAATTTTTAATTTTTTTTCGTTGGACAGGTATTCAAAAACTGTAATGCCTTTTCGTCTTTGGCATAGTGGTGACCTAGAGTAGTAAGCAGTACTTTCCAAGACTTAGAGAAGCTCTACTTATCAACGAAAATTGTATCACAAACTAATATATGAACATTTTTTCACTTTTCGGCATATTCACCATAAATATAACAGTTGGCAAGTCGTTACTCCAGTTTTTGGATCTCGTAGTCAAATAACGCTGCTGACTGACCGTTGAAACATTTAGTAATTGTCTTTTTCAACAAGTCATCATTTTCCAAGTGCTTCCCATCAAGGAGCTCCCCAGGTTTAACTGATTTCCGGGAAACTACAGCACATTTAGTTTTTTTGCTGTTGTGGCCAATTAAACGCCATTTCGGCTCACTTTATGATTCGTTCTGATCCAAAGGGAGCAATGTTGGCATTGCTCTTGAAATCGTATATTTGTGATGTTTTGTTTGCGTACCCTATGTACCCCGTGGACTGTTGACACCAGAAGCTGCCTTCGATGTAGAAGGCTACTCTTTTTTCTTAATGGTACCAATTCTAAAGGAAACCTTAACTTTGTCTGCTGCCTGTTTAAATACTTGAGTCTACTTACATCACTATTCAAATAGGCTGCTAACAATGTGGTCAAAATGCCTGAAATATATATTTCGAGAAAATACTAATTTATGTTAGTATTACTGATAAGGAGACGAAGCATGTCAACTACAAGGTCTGTCGCAAAGTAAACAGGACGAAGAAAAAAATGAACAAACATTTTTTGTTTCGGAAAATCGAATTTATTTTACTCAAAATAGTCTCATTCAGAGTGAATACAGCGATTTTCACGGACCAAAAGGTTTTCGAATGATGATATTAGCTCGTCGAGCATAAATAATGAAGTCGGAGTGGCAGCACCCCAAACATGTGAGCTAGCAAGCTCGAGGCTAGGCCTTATCTGGACCTTGCGGAGAAAAGTGCTTCTTAGCCCTAAAAAATAGCCTAGCTTATTCCCCGCAGCTGCTGCTATTGACGATATGTGTTCGTGCCAGATCAGGCTCTCGGTGATCTGGACTCCGACCAGCCGAAATGTATGGCTCTTCGACAGAACTCAGCCATCCATTGAAACGGGATGAGCGCTAGGACGCTTTTTGTTCGTCAATGTACAGTACTGTGTTTTTCTTTGCGATATTCTGGCCGAACACGATGAATACGGGACAGCAAACGCCTCATAACACGAGGATAGGACACAGTGTTAACCGTCTGGCCCAGTGGAATGAATTCTTTGTGAATAATTCTCTAATAATTGTAGAAACAAATCAACATTCTCTTCACTTTGGACTTAGGCACTTTGACGCTTGGTTTCGAGATCTAATTAAAAAACCCTCTCGTTTCGTCACCAGTCATAATGTTGTACAGAAAGTTTTTGTCTTTTTTGCCTTCTTCAATGATGTATCTAGAATGTTGAATTCGAAGCAATTTTTGGTCACCCGTGAGCTTGTGCGGAACCAACCGTGAACACACCTTTCTCGTGCCCAGATTCTTGTTCAAAATGCGATGGATCGAATATTTAGAGATGTATTATGGAACTCGAAGAGTCACCTACGAGATAAACAATCATCACTATATATGCTAAAAATATACTGTCACTTAAGCGCTATAGCTCCGCGTCGAGTGGTTCGATGGTCATGACATTTCGACAGGGCATCAATGAAAGATGTACTTATCCAACACTAGTTTCCGACAATAGATATCTTTCAAAAGTCCCATTTACTTTGCGACATACCTTGTATATGGGGCACCTTTGACCCGTTTTTCCGACCTCGTTGTACCAAATGCTATAATTATTTTTATTCTGATACCAATATTATTGTCTGTCACACATTTTCATATCCACGCAACTAATACGAGTATTATCCCTATGCACCGTGATTTTTACATTCCACTTCATATCAGATAAATAATTAATGCGATCAATATTTTAATTAATTTTCAAAATCATCCGCTTTTGTCGCCGGATTTCCTAGTGTTTAAAGCAGTGTCACTGCATTTCTGTTAGATCGAGTATAACTCACATAACGTGTGGGTATAGGCTTGTTGCTTGTCGCTCAATTCAAAGTAGTAAGTTTCCTAGTGTTCTCGATTTTTCAAATACAAGACTCCGTCAATTTAACAATCTAAATACTGATGTGCTACAACTGCTACGAATGAGATAGGAAGAGCTTTCTTATGAGATTTGAATTGGCCGAGGAAGGAACAAAGAAGAGACCAATGAGGCTAGATAACGTATGACTAGAGAAAAGTCTAGTGTAGATCACAACTGGTCGAAAGAAGAACGGTACCCCTCAGAAATCCGCAATCATCCCTACTCTATTTCCAATCGCCATCAACGATATTCTGAAGAACATCTCAAAACCCATATAGGCATAACCCTATGCGGATATGATTCTTTTTCTTAAAGGAAAGGTGCTGAAAACAAGCGCAAACTTAATGCAGGGAACAGTAAATCCTTCTCTCCAGAAAATACTAGATGTATGTTGTTTTCTAACAAGCCCACAGAACGCATTCCCATATTGCGTGTAAACCTTTAGGGCGTACACACAAAATTCCTGGGGTATACTTCAACCAACGTCTGTCCTGGAAAAGTCATATAAGATGCCTTACCCAACCGTCTCAAAAACGTATTAACCTTATTAGATGCTTGGAGGACAAGCACTGGGGAGCGGAAGGAAAAACCCTACTTGTTATTTAAAAAGCGTGGGCAATCAGCCGTTTTCTTTAAATTGCTATTATTTTGAGAGTTGGTAACACTTCCATGCTCAACATATTGACAGATATAGTGTCTCAAACTTCCGCTGTTAGCAATGGATCGTTTTAAGCCTGAACAAAGGTGGGAAGTATTGGAAAACTATTTTCAAAGTGAGTGCTGTGTTGCAGAAACTTTGTGAAAATTGAGAAGACTACTTGGTCGGAGTGAAACTCCATCCACGACTGCTGGCCGGCTTGTGGATAACAGAAGGTATGAGCGTGTTCGACCCGTACGTACAACCGAAAACATTGCTGGTGTTGCCCAGAGTGTGCTTGAAAACGCAAGAATGTCAACTCGTCACAGAGAACAACCAGTGGACATCAGTCGCACTTCTATGCGGAGAATATTGCATAACGGTCTGGGATTATTTCATTACCAGGTGCAACTTGTGCAAGAGTTGGAACAAAATGAACATCCGCTTCGATATCGTTTCTCTGTGTGGGCTCTAAATCAGTTGGAAACGGACGTCAATTTTGGTCGCCAAATCATCTTTTCGGACGAAGCCCATTTCCATCTGGGAGGTTACGTTAACAAGCAGAACTGTAGGATTTGGCGTTCTGAAAATCCACATGTCGTCTTAGAAAAACGAATGCATCCAAAAGAGTAACTGTTTGGTGTGGCTTTTGCAGTGGTGGAATTATTGGTACCTACTTTTTTCAAGATGAAGATAGTAACAGCGTGGCGGTAAACGGGAGACGCTACAGAGACATGTTGAGGAGTTTTTTGTGGCCACTGTTAGACGACATGCACTTACACAATCTCTGATGGTTCAGCAATCGATCTTTTACACACTAAGTTTGGTCATCGCATTATCTGCCGTTTTGGAGACGTTCATTGGCCAGTCCGCAGCTGTGATTGGACGCCCATGGATTACTTCCTTTGGGGTAGTGTTAAGGACAGCTGCTACTCTAACGATCCTCAAACAATTGATGTTCTTAAGGAAAATATCCGTCAAGCTATTGATGAAATAGACCCACAAACTATCG